CAATTATTAAACGCATGTTTGGTGCATATTTTTGGCCATTTTTAGACATTATTGGTAAGTTGCACCGTGCATGCAAAATTCAAGAGTAGATTAAAATTAAGATTCCTATGTGTCAGAGTGGAAGAAAATTGAAAGATTCATTTGTCGGGCAGAGGTCTGAAAAATACTAAAAATGAAGGGGAGGGAAGGGAAGCACGTGAAGCTTTTCTTACAATTTTGGGCAAAATTTTTGAGGAAATATTTTCTCTTTTGGAACACATTCACGGGTTGTCGTAGTATTTTTTTTGAGATTTTGAGCTCATTTTCTTAAACTCATGTGTAATCAAACTCATTTTTAAACATATGTTTCGCATACACAACTTTTATCAACTATTTAATCACATATTTTATCAACTTTATTTCAAATTCTTTAAGAATTTTATTTTTAGCTAAATTAAACATGAACTAAATGCACGAAATAATAAGTCCCAATTCGAATCTCAATTTTTTTTTTTATAATTTATTTCCCACATTCATTATCAACTACACATTTTATGAAATCCACATTTTTTTTTATCAATTTTCTTTCATGTAATTTATTAATTTTTATTAAAATCCACTAAAATTGTTACATGTACCATGATCCATCATTTTTTATCATAGTTTCTTTGTCTTTTGACTATGTTAAGACTAAATGAGTGCTTGAATACAGAAACGTGTGCTTGGGGGGACCTATAAATTAGTAGTGTTTCATATACCACCCGCCACCTGAATTAGAGAAAATTCTGTACTGAAGAAGTGAGAATCTTGGTTAATAATGGCTGGGAATCAAGAAAAATTGAGGGCTTTTAGACTTATTCTAACAGTTGTATCGAGCTTTCTGTTGGCTTCAATATTTGTTTCTGCTGAAGGAAGCAGCTTAAAGCAGAAGTTTTTAGCACATAATGCAAACGGATTTTCACATTCTGATTTAGAAGTTTTAACAAATTATCAGAATTTTACACGGCAAGCCAACAAATCTGGGTACCAGCACGTTTGGCCGGTGAGTCAAATAATTGATTATTTGCATATTCAATTTGTTCTGTGCTTTAATGTACTTGAATTGAGTTCGATCTAATTTTATTTTCCTATATATTTTTGCATGATATGCTTGTTTGTTGAGTACTTATTGATATTGGAGTTTGGAGGTTGGGATAGATAATTTCGATTCAGTTTTTCTCAGAATTGATCTTTGTGAATTCTTAGGATTTTGTTCTTAGGTTTCTTTGTAGGTTGTTGAGTCCTGGAGGGCTATCAGTTGGTTCGATGGAAGCATTAACAAGTGTTGTTAATTGCATGCCTCTATGTGAACTTCTAATCGGAGATATCCATATGACCAGAAAAGAGTAACTTTTAGAAAACCTCAAAGAAATGGTTGATTTGATCATAACTTTGTGTGTTTCTGTGTGAGAAAAAGATTGTTCATATAGTTGGCCTCTCAAACAAAAAGTGACAGAACTTCCTTAAGTCAGGGAGAATCATACA